AACATTCATGGGCTTATCCATTTGTACTGCCCCTTATCTAGACTTACTTATCATGAACATACAACATTCATTGGCTTATCCATATGTACTGCCCCTTATCTAGACTTACTTATCATGAACATACAACATTCATGGGCTTATCCATTTGTACTGCCCCTTATCTAGACTTGCTTATCATGAACATACAAACATTCATGGGCTTATCCATTTGTACTGCCCCCTTATCTAGACTTGCTTATCATGAACATACAACATTCATGGGCTTATCCATTTTGTACTGCCCCCTTATCTAGACTTACTTATTATCATGAACATACAACATTCATGGCTTATCCATTTGTACTGCCCCTTATCTAGACTTGCTTAATCATGAACATACAACATTCATGGGCTTATCCATTTGTACTGCCCCCTTATCTAGACTTGCTTATCATGAACATACAACATTCATGGGCTTATCCATTTGTACTGCCCCCTTATCTAGACTTACTTATCATGAACATACAACATTCATGGGCTTATCCATTTGTACTGCCCCCTTATCTAGACTTACTTATCATGAACACACAACATTCATGGGCTTATCCATTTGTACTGCCCCCTTATCTAGACTTACTTATCATGAACATACAACATTCATTGGCTTATCCATTTGTACTGCCCCCTTATCTAGACTTACTTATCATGAACATACAACATTCATGGGCTTATCCATTTGTACTGCCCCCTTATCTAGAACTTACTTATCATGAACATACAACATTCATGGGCTTATCCATATGTACTGCCCCTTATCTAGACTTACTTATCATGAACACACAACATTCATGGGCTTATCCATTTGTACTGCCCCTTATCTAGACTTGCTTATCATGAACATACAACATTCATGGGCTTATCCATATGTACTGTACTGCCCCCTTATCTAGACTTGCTTATCATGAACATACAACATTCATGGACTTATCCATTTGTACTGACCCCTTATCTAGACTTGCTTATCATGAACATACAACATTCATGGACTTATCCATTTGTACTGACCCCTTATCTAGACTTGCTTATCATGAACATACAACATTCATTGGCTTATCCATTTGTACTGCCCCCTTATCTAGACTTGCTTATCATGAACATACAACATTCATGGACTTTATCCATTTGTACTGACCCCTTATCTAGACTTGCTTATCATGAACATACAACATTCATGGACTTATCCATTTGTACTGACCCCTTATCTAGACTTGCTTATCATGAACATACAACATTCATGGACTTATCCATTTGTACTGCCCCTTATCTAGACTTGCTTATCATGAACATACAACATTCATGGACTTATCCATTTGTACTGACCCCTTATCTAGACTTGCTTATCATGAACATACAACATTCATGGACTTATCCATTTGTACTGACCCCTTTATCTAGACTTGCTTATCATGAACATACAACATTCATGGGCTTATCCATTTGTACTGCCCCTTATCTAGACTTACTTATCATGAACATACAACATTCATGGGCTTATCCCTTTGTACTGCCCCCTTATCTAGACTTACTTATCATGAACACACAACATTCATGGGCTTATCCATTTGTACTGCCCCCTTATCTAGACTTACTTATCATGAACATACAACATTCATGGGCTTATCCATTTGTACTGCCCCCTTATCTAGACTTACTTATCATGAACATACAACATTCATGGGCTTATCCATTTGTACTGCAGCCTTATCTAGACTTACTTATCATGAACATACAACATTCATGGGCTTATCCATTTGTACTGCCCCCTTATCTAGACTTACTTATCATGAACATACAACATTCATGGGCTTATCCATTTGTACTGCCCCCTTATCTAGACTTACTTATCATGAACATACAACATTCATGGGCTTATCCATATGTACTGCCCCCTTATCTAGACTTACTTATCATGAACATACAACATTCATGGGCTTATCCATATGTACCGCCTGCTTATCTAGACTTGCTTATTATGACGCTACAACATTCATGAACTTATCATTCAGTAGAGCCTTGGAGCAAGGCTATGAAATATATATGTTAAATGGATTCATGTGATGCTTTATAAAAGTCACTCAAATATGAAACTACTTTATACTTGAGCTACTTTTAGTCTGCCTCGATGACTCTTTAGTACGCCCATGAAGATTAATTAGAAAATATTTAACACAGAAGAAATCTGTTGTTTCATGTCTAATAACGTACTCAACTGACTGACGACATTTTCACAAGCAGTCACTTGTTTAACTAGCAGGGTTGTCATTTCACTTGATGAGATACATAATCTGATCAGAAACTATACACATCTGTATTACCTATCTGGGTGATACGAGAGTTACACAATTGGACAAGTTATACACATCTGCAGCACCTATCTAGGTGATACGGGAGTTCATTAAACTCTATATGAATCAAATATGTACTGCCTTCATAAAGCACTGATAACATAGGACAGAGATAGGGAGTGACATGAATATATGAATATAGGCGATGTCACACAAGTTGGATATCACAATTCATTACTGACATAGTGTTGACCCAGTTCCCAACACAGCAGCTTTCATTCCAAACTCTGATTCACTGTACCTATAATTATGTGTAGATAATAAATCTTTCTTCAATTAATTTTTATATGAATCTTAATTCGGGAAAATCTTTACATATAACATAGATAGAAGCCTGACTCTTTTCAGTATGAGACACGCTGTAGGAAGGATGTTATGTTCTCATTTCTTGGATAACAGTAGAGTTTACTCAAAATGAAAAAGCAAAAATTGACACTATCATTTGTTCTTTCCAACATGTCACACAGATTCATATAATTTGTGATGACAAAGTGTTTCAAAACAAAACAACAACAACGAATTAGACTTTGACAATGGAGGACCCCAAGTGACCCTTGACACAAGTTATAAACACTATCTATATCTGTATATCTGCATCCGACAAGATGTCAAGATATGGTAAAACAACTTCAGTTTCACAAGTTACTGTACCTTTAATTAAGATCTTCGCATGTTCCCTGAAAATTTATTTCTCAGTTATATTCAAATAAATAGTTTATTCAATAGTTTAGTACCCTATCTTTAGCGCAAAATTACCAATTTGAAGGCAATATTACACTGTAAAAAATATACACAAATATGAAACAGCAATATTAACAAAGATCATATATGCTTGAATTGATCTATAATATATGTTAAAAAGTGGGAGCCAGGTTCTCTACAGCTGTTTAAAAATTAACTTCAATTCACGAGATGGTGCACTGCTTCAGTGACCAGATAACCATCAGCATGCTTTATTTAAGTCAGTTGTTGGTGTCAATTACTGTCATATGGAGAAAATGTTAAAATAGTTTAAAATATGCTGATCCTATTGAAATAGAAACCTGTAAACCATCCACACACTGTCCTTATAAACGTTGCCGCCAATATCTATCACCATGGAGTTGCCAACAGTTTATCCAATATGAGCTGACAACAGGCTGCTGTTGCCAACCGCTGACCACTATGATTGACCGCAGTGGACATAAGGCTGGCAAAGCCAATCCATGTTGAACAATAAGTTAACACATGTGCCCACTGTCACACCTTCTCCCGATGTCGAGGATTAACCTCAATCTGTGCCCGGAATTGCTATCCGAGGCTTACACGAGTCATGTGGCATCTGGTCAGCGGATCTGTACTGTACACACACTACTCATCAGTCTTCTGTACTCACAAGACAACTACCCTACTCAAACACCGGGAAATATGGGATTTATCACATGAGTGGTTGTTAGGGGAACCCAACGACCTGAGCTTTAGAATGATGTAATCCTTGTTATAACACACTTGAAGATGGATGATGGTTGTGAGGGTTGTTGGGTAAGGAGCAACCGTTAATGGAGATCTACTTAATAAAGGCTTGTACACACAACCTGATGATATGAAGCAGCCATTATGAGATGGCTTGATTAAAAACCTGCACAGATCAGCTAATACTGGTGATATAACTGTTCATTGTGGGATTACGGGGCTTGAATCCACTCATTGAACTAGCAGGGTGAGGTGTCTGTAACCTACACCAGATCAAACAGCAAAGTGATTTGTCTGTGACTTAAAGGCACTATGTCACAGCACACTTCTCTAAAAATATATAATGCATTTCTCTCAAAAATACTATCAACCCTCAGGGAAGATACCATATAATTTATTCAATTTCATATTTACATATTTAGATTACAATATTAAATTAAAAAGTTTGTATGAATTAATGCAACAATGCATTAAATCGACTCTCGCGCCCTCTACTGACCAAACATAATTTCAAGCGAACCCCATTGCGTCATGTCCCTTGGAGAGCTCTTTACGAATATCCTATAACGCAACTTGTGATTGAAACCAGTTTGGCAAACACCACCAACACCATGTCAGACAGTTTTCGATGTACGATGTATGGAGCAATCGTATACATTCCATACATGGCAAGTGTTTGGAAGCTGTTCGCCTCGATGTTTCAATTACAGGCAAGTCGTAGGGGATAATAAGTCTTTTATTGCATCAATAGGAAGCTAAAGTGAGTGCATATGCCCCAATATGTATAATATAGGCCAAAATATTGTCAACATTGTGTAACATTGTGTGCCTTTAAACCAGCCGTTACAGCTGGATGAGGTGCATATAACCTACTCGGCTAATCAACTCAGTTTTCCACTGATCCTCAATTTCTATGTATGATTCCACAAATGCAATTGACAAACAAACACAGATTAATAACAGGTAATAGATCTATCACAGTTTTGCTGTAAGTTCAAGCTGGTGTTGGGCCATTTTTTATGTCTACATGATGAAAGTAGAAACAGTTCCAGTTCAGTTCCGATTTCATATAACCATGAGTTTGTGTCTGGCACAAACAAACCATAATTATTTTTTAAGACATCTGTTGATGAAATTAGCAACCTAAAGACAAAGAAAAATATGGACTCTCAAAAATCAACCAAGTTTATTATCATCAACAAAATAAGAATCACAAACTTAACAAAAGGTACTTTCATGGTACAGTCATAGAAATGTTTCTAGATGCCCATCAGTTTATCTCTCCACACTTGTCTCTATATGAATTCATACATTTCTCCTCAGGACTGAATTCATTCTAAAGATTCAACATAAATACATTACTTGTGACATTAGGGTAGCCTAGTGAAGAAAGCATTTTCTTCTCATGATGAAGATCCGAGTTTGAATCTCAACATGTCACGTCTCATGTGATGTACAAAAACACCTATTTTTCTTCATAGTTCTTCATTAGACCGCTGCAATGCTTAAAGATGCTGGCTGGCTGTATTTCTGAAGTCCATTCTAGTTATTCCAAAGTTTGATGGAATCTGGTACTGAGAATGGTTTCAAGACGCCACTGCTGGGATTACCCACTTCAACTCCTCCAAGAGACATGGAACATGTGGATGAATGGTTACCGAGTTCTTGAAGAATATTACACATCTGGTACAACCTGTATCATGTAGTACATCAGAGGTGGGGGTCAAGTGGGGTTTAATGCCACGTCTTTTGCACTTAAAGTAGCAACATGCATTTGGGTATGCGCGTGTGTGTGCGAGAGCGCATGTGCCTGCCTGCCTGCCTGTCTGTGTGTCTGTGTGCATGCCTGTATGAACTTGTTCTAGTCCGGAATAATGGCAGTTTCATGTACTACCCCATCACGATTTAACTTGGAAACCCCATTCAGACACTCCTGACTCTACCGACTCTGAGTGGTGTAGTCCTTGTTTTATACCATGCTGCAGGCAAGGTAATAACAAGCATCATCTTTCAACAGCTGTGGTATGACAATGCCAAGGATCTTTCAGACCACAGCAGTCACATAGTACAGGCCTAGTACAGGGCTACAGTCATGTCCACGAAGTCTGTGGCGGACATTTTGGTTGAAGAAAGTGCTGTATAGACTTTACATCCATCTCAAGTGCAGCTCTAGCGCCAAGGTTTCCACTTTCAAGTGCTGTATCCTCATTCTCTGTTAATAGTTTCCTGTAAAACAAGAAGTATGGGTCTATAGTATCAATATCTACAATCTGAGGTGACAATATTCTTGAATGGATTGAGGATTACTGCGTGTTGAAACACTACCTCAGTAAGTATAGAAAATACATGTCAATCTGTGAAGGGGAGAGATTATATTGAGGAATATTACAGCCAGTACCTTGGTAAGTGAGTGAGTGAGAGGGTTTGATGTAAAGATGCTTTAAACATTATTACAGTTACAAACAGCAAAGACAAGGGTTATAATCTTGTAATGGGGCGGTGAGGTAGCCTAGAGGTTAAAGCGTTTTCGTTATAGATCGTTTGTAATGGGTACAATGTGTGAAGCCCATTTCTGTCCGTGATGTTGCTGGAATATTGCTAAAAGCAGCGTAAAACCAAACTCAGTCAGTCAGTCAGTCTTCCAACTTCTTCGTTTAATTGATCGCAATATGGCGGAAATATTGCCAATGTGATGTTAAATTTTAACCCACTCATCACGTTATTGACAGAAATACAAGTAACCACTGACTGCACTGTAGATAAGTACAGATACCAGCTTCAGAGGCAGATAGATCAGCAATGTTATCTGATTGTGATGTCATTTAAGCAATGACATCACAATGATCTACAATGCACTGTGATGAAATTTTATAAAAGGAGATATCACTTTATTTCATCCATGCTATATCTCAAGTGGAAGCCAGTCTTAAATGATAAATCACAGTTTGTCAGGGTCTAGAAAAGCCTGAGGTGATGTAGATCCACCTGGTCTCAACTTGTTCCCATTTAAAGAGCAGACTAGTGAGGATTGGGCAGTTACTGGTGTGATAGCAGATCATACACACCATCCAGCTGTGTTAATGAGGGTGAATAGTACACACACACACGCAATATTATCAATTTATTACAAAAATCAAATACATTACTGCTAGCACACAAATCCAGAAAAGGCAATTCAACAAATCGAAGTATTCCAGTCAATTCCATCAACAATATAAACCTTTTATAATAAAAAATGTTTAATGTATTGATAGATTTTACAAATCCATGCAATGTTGTCCAAAGTTCACTCAATATTGAGATTGATAATTTGGGCGAAATTATCTGATCCGTAACCATGATCAGAAGAGAAAAATCACATTCACTTGAGGAGGGTCATATCGTTTTGATACTATCACACATCTGTGAGTAGGCGTACAGCTATTAAGGCAATATTAATTTCTGTGATTAATAAATGAAGCTACTGTGATGTTTTATTTTCATCCATCCACGGACATGAGATGAGTCAGTCCTGTAGAGTGAGCATGTGTATCTCCACGGTGCCGTCTACGCCAGGTGTGACAGTTGCCGTGACAATATCCACGGCGACACATGTACTTCAATCAATACTAGCAAGTGTTACACATAGGCGGGCTGTAATCAAAGTCTCACTTACAAATGGCTGTTGACACAAAATCAGTAACATGTTGTAACGGTTTGTTCAGTCAGTCTCTTGTATGTTCGACAACAAAAAGCATGAAAAGTTAGAGAGCATGAGTGAGTGAGTTTAGTTTTATGTCACTTTTAGCAATATTCCAGCAATATCACAGCAGGGGACACCAGAAATGGGCTTCACACATTGTACCCATGCAGGGAATCAAACCCAGTCTTCAGTGTGACGAGTGAACGCTTTAACCACTTGGCTACCCCATCGCCCCCAAAAGAGCTTAAGGATTATTAAGGTGTCTGTTATATCAGAATATGAGCGCAGATATTTACATATTACATGGCAAGGCTAATATTTTGTTTCACACTGAGGTAATCCTAAAAATCTAAATATTTCAGATGGGAAAAACATGAGATGTAATAAGCTGGGGTCTTGGAGCAAGTCCAAGATGAAATATTTTCAACAACATTAAAGGAAGATGGTGAACACCTGGCGTCTATTTATTCATCAGTGGAGTAAAAATAATTTTATTTGAAATCCAGGTTTTGACTTCATCTCATTGTTTGTTTGTTGTTTAATGCCACACTCAGCAGTCTGAAAATATTTCAAACTGATGTAAAGCAGAACAACTACTACATTGTGAACAAAGAACCACAATGTCAGGTTACAGTGAGACACCAAGTTAGTGTGTCTGGCCACCTGATCTACCAAGTGGCCCTCGCAGAACACTACAGATTGTTGGGGATTAATCTGGAAGCCCAGCATGTCCTCTGAATGTCCACAGAGTCGGAAGCGCTTGGGGTTAACTGGTCAGATACTAAACGCTGACCTAGTGGAAGGTAGTTTGATGGTGATGACAGCTGGGGTTGGATTCTACAACAACCCAGCCAGGACGTAGAGTTCCAACCCCTCTAGGTATCTGACAGACCACTGAAACTTGGCATCCACTTTAGGAAATCTTGTGTGAGTGAGTAAGTTTAGTTATAAGAAAACTTCTAGCAATATTTCAGCAATATCACAGTGTCAGATATCAGAAATGAACTTCAAACGTTGTATTCATGTGGGGAATCGAACCCAGCGTGATGAGCAAACCCTGGGCTACCCCACTGCCACAGGGAATCTGGAGTTGTATCAGGGTACACAGCTTCAGCAAGAAAATGAAACTACAATTTCCACTTCGACTGCACGACCATGTGTGCTAAAAAGCTTTAAGGATGAATCTTTATAGATTTGTCACTTTTTGTAAAAATTAAAGACTAAAACTTTGAAGACTAAAATATTAGCATCTGCATAACTGATAAATGTTTCAGTGCAGTGTAGTGCGGTATCTGAGCCTTCACGTCTGGGCATATGACATAATGGAAGTGTGTTGGCATCCTCAAGGATACTGCATGACGATCAGCAATATCACGGCGGGGGACACAAGAAATGGGCTTTACACATTCACAGATGCCAACCCTAATTTAGCCCAATTAGTATTTTGGCCAAAAACAGATGCAAAAATTAGTATTAGCCTTTCCAAAGAATTTTCTTATTTAATGCAGATTATATAGATATTCTAAGAACTTGTTATCAACCTAAATCAGTAGTGAGTATCATGAATAAAATGTGGATGCAATTTATTGTATGTTACATATGCTATTGATAATTTAACTTAATGTATTTTTAAAAAATTAGTATATTTTTACTGCTATTGTAGTCACGTATTATGTGTTTTTTTTTCAGTAATGACATTGTACCCAATGACATTGTACAGTACTCGATAAAATCAAGGGGCTGGCATGAATCCAGGGTCCAGGACCCTGACAGTACATCTATTTGCCAAATCAAGGTGGCTGGCATGAAACCAGTTGGACCAGGACCCTGAAGCTCCGTCTGAAGTTGCATCCCCACCCCTGTTGCCAGAGTCTTTTAGTTGTTTCTGACTCAGTTACCAGAGTTGTGATTGTATCACCTGTAACAACACAGTGGGTGGTAGGAGGAGTGTGGTCTGAGTGTTGCCCCACCCCTGTGATGCAGCCATGATGCTGGGGAATAGTGGTTACCTCCTCCCTCCCTGAGATAGTGGACTGTATCTGTGCAGCAGGGGATAGTGTGCCCTGTACCTGGATTGTGTGTTGAGGAAGATAGTATTATGATATGGGTCTTGGGTCCAAGTGATGGTTCCGGTGAAACCCCTTATCTAACTGGCGTGCTGGTCTGCTTGGGGGGAATTAACTCAGCAAACAGTCTGAAGTCACAGGAAGCTAATCACAATTTTATTAACGGAATAACATGGGGTGGCCACTGAGAGTCGGAGATAGTGGCAACTGTACCTAGGTGGTGTGGGGATAGTGCTGTACCTGGGAGAGTCTGTACAGCTATCCGAGAGTAGTGAAGGGCGTCTGCTGTCTTCCCCTGGTCTGCCAGGAGGCTGGAGAACTTGCAACAAGCTTGCACTAGAAGGGACTTCCACTCAAGGCAGGGACTACAATCTGAAATACAACCATTCACACTTCACGCAGGTGTCCAAGATCCATTGAGATTCGAATATTGGCCACATGCAACCTATGCCTGAATAAGAGGCAAGTACAGGAATCTGTTGGTCTGGGGCTTGGTAATTACATGTCATTGTTTCAAAACTGAGTGGACCATGATGTCAAGTACTAGATTTTCTGGTCCAGATTTACACCCATCAAGATCCAGGTTAGAACTGAGCTTCAGCAACCTATGGACTTACTGACTGACTGACTTTGGCTTTACGCCGCTTTTAGCAATATTCCAGCAACATCACTGCGGGGGACACCAGAGATGGGCTTCACACATTGTACCCATGTGGGGATTCGAACCCGGGTCTTCGGCGTGACGAGCCAACGCTTTAACCACTAGGCTACGCCACCGCCCAGTAACCTATGGATGTCTTAAGAGGCAACTAATGGTATCGGGTGGTCAGAATCGCTTACTTGGTCGACACATGTCATCGTATCCCAATTGTGTCGTATCGATTATTTACAGACTGCCACAATATAGCTGGAATATAGCACGGAATTAAACAACAAACAAAAAATGGTCCAGATTTGAGTTTTTACAGTCCCATCACACAACTGGAATATTGCTGAGTTTGGTGTTGCATAACAAACTAATCACAGACAAGCACAGATGGCTCAGTTACTTTTTGCAGCATCAATTTCTGCCCTGGGACAATTCATTACGTTGTTACTAAGTAGTGGAGAATTAATTCACTGTTATATCATACCCACTATGTATTGGAGACATGTTGCCAAGGAAAATGAAAAAAAACAATCCAGTTAATTAAAAGTTCAGTATTTGCCTGATGTGCATACAAAGTTCACAAAGAAATATTGAACAGTTTGTCAGTTATGTTCTGGAAATGAACCAGCCCTAATTTGCATGCAGGTCCAAACTGTTGCCATGGGAACGGCCAATTACATTTTGGCAGTGAATAATTAGGTGTCTGGATGGAATATTTTGACTATTTACCAAATCAATCACAGTTAACTGGTGTTGTTTACAATCTCTGATGACTTCATATTACTTTATACAGTTCGTAAAACTGTAAAATTGTAAAACCAACATGACATGTTTGCAATGTCTATTATCACATAACTTCACGTTTTATAATTCATAAACATTATAACTCCAGAAATAGGGAAGAAAATTCAAAGAAGTATGAATCGAAAAACACTTGTGATCACTCGAAAACAGGTCAACTGATTTTGATGATGTGACATATATATTGCTAAGTCAACATATCTCCCACCCACAGATAGGTCGTCCACACATTCTAGCTTAGTACTGTGACAAAAATATTTGCAATTTCAATTCATCCTTGACATGTAGTTTCTTTGAAGAGTTATTAAATCTGCATCTTTCTATGTTGAACGCATACACCAATGGAGACATATGCCTTCAGATAAATCTGGTATTGGCACACTGTCGATCCGTCAAAGGAGTCTCTCATTCAGACACTTCAATACACAGCTCAAGGGTGTAACTACATTCAAAACTCACTCAAGCGCGTCAGATAACATATATCCAACAAACAGCATTAACATCTATCACATGTATAGGAAAGTATGCAGAGTATTCAATTGAGAAAAACGTCAACTGACGACGAGCTGGCTTATTCACGTGACTCTCTCTAACCTCATTGAGGGTAGTGGGACAGTATGCAGGCTTTGACAGGTGTATTCTCTTTACCTGGGCTCCGCATGTACCAGAATACTCGTTACAGGTGAAGTCAGTAGCGGTAGTGGGAGTAACAGTGTGGGTGGTACAGGTATACACAGGTGTAAATTTTGTTTAATCGTTAACGAATGTATAAAGGTAGTTGGACAAACCCTTATGTCAAAATTGTGGGTGTGCAAGGTCATAGTTTGAAGGACATGGTGTAACACAAGTACAATTCATCTCCATGGATTCAGAACATGACAGTTTTTAGCTAGCGGGGAACTTTAATTGTTAACGAATGTATAAAGGTAGTTGGACACCTTGTGTCGAAACCGTGTGTGTGTGTGTGTGTGTGAGACCTCGTGTGTGTGTGTGTGTGTGTGTGTGTGCAGGATCACTGTCTGAAGGATGTGAAGTAACTAGTACAAAGCACCACTATGAATTTAGAACATGGCAGTTTTGGCTAGCAAGGAAATGAGATGTCTGAACATAAATTATCAAATAAGGGTCCATATACGAAACAGGATTTTGTTTTCAGGAAGTTTACGCATAATAGTTTTGTGACTAAGTCTGAGGAAATGCCTGTTTCATACAATATTTATATTTCATTGTGATTCATTAAACAATAGCAGTACATTTGACATAATATTTTCTGATTAATCATAGGATAATCAATACATTTGATGTATTTTTTGTGTGTTTGATCTATCAATAAATTCATCAGTATTTTCATAGTATCCAAAAAACAACATACATTAATCTTAGTCTTTTAAATCCTTGTAAGAATAAAAGGAACCTTGACCTAAAAAACCTTCAAAGTTATGACCACATAAAAAATCTTGAATCTCCATATAAGAGCGCTGTATAAAATAGAAGCATATTTCTGTAATAAAACAGAAAATAGATATTCTGCCTCACGTTTTCACAATGAAAATACAAACTGACTGCACTATTTGACTTGTCTTCTATTAGTATTATAGCTCATGGCTGATTATTACATGCTATACTTGACAGAACCCTGCTGATGAAAGCCCCTTTAATTCTCTATTTTGTTCCACTTTGTTTTCAATGTAACTGCCACCAGTGTATTTCCACTGAGGTCTGTTTTTTAGCCACTCAGTCATCCATCAGTGTGTCGCCTGGAGCAACATTCCTCCCTAACGATGATTTACAGATGAATCAAAACAATGGAATAATTCGATTACCAATTCCAATTAAAACAAGCCTGTTTGCTCGTTTCTGACAGTCTTTCACAATGTCCGACAAAAACACCCATTTATTCACAAAAATACACCAAAAACATTGACAGGGTTTTTTCTTCCCCATCCAGGTTGAGAGCATGTTTGAATAATTATGTAAACTCTAGAGATAACAACTTGTGGGCAGGGTTTCCAGCCATTAGGAATTCCTCGACAACTAAGTTGCATTGCCCTGGATAAATTGAGCAATCACATCCTTATGCCAATACACTTACCCAGGGATTGGCATATACACACATTTTTAAGTTGTACCTGTTTTAATTAAAACCTCCTCCTCATTTACTGTTCTCCGTCGTTTGGGGACAGGTTCGGAGGTCATCTGGATATCAGCTTCCGCAACCTCCGACCATCGTCCACGGCATTCCAGAAGCGCTTCAACGGCCCTGACAGATGAAAGCATGTTTATTTAGAAAAAGTCGCTAAGTCTTGAGCGTACAGTCTCTCGGCTTTGTCCTTTTGCTCTCCACTGATGTAGATGTTTGCCGAAGTGTCCGTTCTTTACTACAAAATTTACGGTCAAGTTTGCAATTCCCGGCCCTCTTACGATGTATTGAATGGTTGGTGCGGAACCATGGACATCACATTTCACACTGGGTTACTACCAAACAACACTGTGCAGGGAATATGCCTCCATAATTATTAAGTACACCTAGACTCAGAGGAAAAAGCCTTGACATGTATTTCAAAGTTAACGTGGAGATTTTAGTGTCAACACCAACTGTATGGAATATCAGTGTGGCGCAAGCTTGAAGGGCCAAGGCAAGAGACTGCAAAGAAGATTAGTCAAATCACACAAACAATGCTGAAAACATCCACAATGGCTGCTGCATGTATCACAATGTCAGCGCTACTGAATAAGGTCTAGACTGCTATCCGGCAGCATCACATGCCATGCTCCTCGGCAAGTTCGTAGCATTGCTGCAAGTGTGTATAAATAAAAAAGGGTCAATATTACGCTATTTGTGGAAAATCATTGTCTAAATATGACAAAAAAATGGAAAATGCTGTGATGCAATTTTCTTTCCAAATATGGAAGATATGAGACAGTTTTAACCCAGTTTGCAAGAGTGAGTGAGTGAGAGTAGGTGAGTTTGGTTTTAGACCGCTTCTAGCAATATTCCAGCAATAACACAGCGGGGGACACCTGAAATGGACTTCACACATTTTACCCAAGTGGAGAATCGAAACTGGGTCTTTGGCATGACGAGCAAACTCATTAACAACTAGGGGAGACAGACACACACAGACAGACAGACAGACAGACAGACACACACACACACAGTTTGTTAGAACAGCAAACAGTATAATCCATGGAATTTGTTGAAATAAGGCAGAGTCTTGAAGTCTCTTTTTTTTTTACCTGTGTAATGAATCTGATGCAGTTTCATAGTCTTTCAAGGCAATTAAGGCATCTGTTTTAAACAATGTCAAGGTCATATGATGTTGAACATCTTGCCAGTCGTCTTCATTCTGATTGGCTGGAGCGAGTTCACAGGAGTAAGATCTTGGCCTCTTTCTGGAATTGGTACCTATAGTTTGTGACAGATCTTCACTGTCATCTTGACCAAGAAGATTGCTGATGTCGTCTGCTCCAAAGGAGGTAGCAGACATGTTGAGGGTAAGACTGACAGACTCAAGAGCCTTGTCGCAGACGATGATACAGTCTTCGTAATTCTCAGCATTGAGGAGGCATTCTGCAGTTTCCTTGTAGATTGTTCTGATATGTGGTAGATTTACCACACGGGTAGAAACATCGTCGACCTGAAACAAGATGCATGAGTTAGTGATATATGTGCTGTAGTTACTCAGGTTTGTTTGTTGTTTTGCACGCTAGTCCACAATATTTCAACTATGCTAATGTAGCCAGTACATAACCAAGTCTAGGGGAGAGAAACCAGTGACTGACGTTAGGAGCAATAGTTTATGCTGTGAAGATCTGATGACATACCACTTGGCTAGAGAGTAGGGGACCTAGAGCAAGTCTATGTGACTTGTCTCAATTACTGGACAAATTGTAAATAGAATACGCCAGTTATGAATTTAACCGTGCCATTGTCATTCTCAAACCAGGAATTTGCTTCTACAAGTGAACCTTTATTCGAATGTCATAAAGTGGATAATAGTTTTGCAAAAAGTGAAACAAGATAAAAGGAAATGGATTATCTTTTGTCAGACTATATGTCTTCATACACTAAACCCAGTAAACTGATGACAAATGATGATAAAACTAATCAAGAACGTAATCACTCTGACCTACAAACTTCACATTGATCAGAGGCCAGATAAATAACACACTCCCTAGATGTTTAGAGATTAATCTCTAGATACTAGAGATTAATGGAGCCGACTCAAGACTAGGATTATTGAGGAAGTCAAGATTGCCTCTGCCTGTAAATCAGAAATATATTCATATATGCTTTATAAGTTTTATGTAGATACATATTTCTATATAAAATAACTTCATCTCTTGAACTAAATGTCAGTCTAGGTTCCCCAATGTATAGTTAAACATTTCTATCTAGATGGAAAACAACTTGATTTTCTAGATTCTGGGATTCAGTCGTTTGAAACTTGACATACAACATTCTTTATTTTTTGGTATTACATGCATGTGTAAATTCTGTCCGCTGGAACTTTCACTGACAATAAGACATAATGAGTTTTATACACCTTTTGAAAATAAGATGTCTAGCTTTATACTGACAGAGCTTCAAATAACACAGTATGAAACAAGCAAACAGAAACATTTCTAACTTCCACTTATCACTTGTGAAGATCTGGGTTAGAATTGGTCTTCAGGGCCCCGTTTCACAAAGCTATCGTAGCTAACGACTGTCGTACCTCCTATGCTGTAACATAGACTTACAACAGATGTAGCACTACGATAGCTTTGTGAAACGGGGCCCTGGAACCCAGGCGTAAGAGGCGACTAACTTGATTGGGTGGTCAGGCTCACTGACTTGTTTGGCACATGTCATCATATCCCACTTGTGTAGATCGATGCTCATGCTGTTGATCACTGGATTGTCTGGTCCAGACTCGATTACTTACAGACCCAAGCCATACAGCTGGAATATTGGGTTGTTAGAGTGCAGCATTAAACCAACCAACCAACCAACTTCCACTTACATTAAATACGGTACAGTTCATTGACCCAGCTAAAGAAACAAACATTTCTCACACTGTTTCTTATCAGCATAACATGCTTAATAATTTATTTACAAAGGCTTAAAACCAACAACAAATGACACAATCAATGCAAAATTATTTCCCTCCTATCTTTAAATAGTTAATTTAAATGGCAACGGAAGGATTTTTTTAATTCTATTATTTCTGCATGATTGTGAAGTCCCACTGTGCTCTTTATTTCTTATCCTGTTAAGTAGGGCTGGTCAAGGTAATCTGAAAACTTAGTGGGGGGTTCTCTGATTGCATATCCTCACTGCTGATAGTCAAGTCAGATCCTGGGGACAGAGATAAGTTCAACAAGGAGTACACGTGAATGAATGTTTTGTAGACCCATATGACAGACTTGGAGGAATTGTATGTATCACTGTGTATATACTGATGGTTAAAAGTATGGGAACAGAAATATTACAGGGATGTTTGCTGTTGCATTCAAACAGTGAGAGAGTGAGTGAAAGTGAAAGTAGAAAGGGAGAGTGATAGTGGGTGAATGAGAGTGATAGTGAGGGTGAGTGAGAGTGATAGTGAGGGTGAGTGAGAGTGATAGTGAGGGTGAGTGAGAGTGATAGTGAGGGTGAGTGAGAGTGATAGTGAGGGTGAGTGAGAGTGAGAGTGAGAGTGGGTGAGGGGTGAGTGTGAGAGTGGGTGGCTTATGCATGGTTTTATGTAGAAGGCAGTAATATTTGAATGATTATCAGAAAATACTCCTTTACGTGAAGGATCAAATCAGGCGGTCTGGTGGTTGATTAGTTAGCAAACACCTATTGTTTAAGATGACAACCAGCCTGGTCTCATGCTTTATCCAGTCATCATAGGTTACCTGTGGGGTCTATGGGGTACTAAGGGTTTATGGGATACTAAAATCTGTGGGGTACTGTAGGTCTGTGGGGTACATGGATATCCAGATCTCCACCACCAAGTGGCTGTGATCATCTAGGTCCAGATCTCCACCACCAAGTGGCTGTGATCATCCAGGTCCAGATCTCCACCACCAAGTGGCTGTGATCACCCAGGTCCAGATCTCCACCACCACATGGCTGTGATCACCCAGGTCCAGATCTCCACCACCACATGGCTGTGATCACCCAGGTCCAGATCTCCACCACCACGTGGCTGTGATCACCCAGGTCCAGATCTCCACCACCACGTGGCTGTGATCACCCAGGTCCAGATGTCCACCACCACGTGGCTGTGATCACCCAGGTCCAGATGTCCACCACCACGTGGCTTTGATCATCCATGTCCAGATGTCCACCACCACGTGGCTTTGATCACCCAGGTCCAGATGTCCACCACCACGTGGCTTTGATCACCCAGGTCCAGATGTCCACCACCACGTGGCTTTCATCACCCAGGTCCAGATGTCCACCACCAAGTGGCTTTGATCACCCAGGTCCAGATCTCCACCACCATGCGTGGCTGTGATCACCCAGGTCCAGATCTCCACCACCACTGGCTGTGATCACCCAGGTCCAGATGTCCACCACCATGTGGCTTTGATCACCCAGGTCCAGATCTCCACCACCACGTGGCTGTGATCACCCAGGTCCAGATCTCCACCACCAAGTGGCTGTGATCACCCAGGTCCAGATCTCCACCACCAAGTGGCTGTGATCACCCAGGTCCAGATCTCCACCACCAAGTGGCTATGATCACCCAGGTCCAGATCTCCACCACCAAGTGGCTATGATCACCCAGGTCCAGATCTCCACCACCAAGTGGCTGTGATCACCCAGGTCCAGATCTCCACCACCAAGTGGCTGTGATCACCCAGGTCCAGATCTCCACCACCAAGTGGCTGTGATCACCCAGGTCCAGATGTCCACCACCACGTGGCTGTGATCACCCAGGTCCAGATGTCCACCACCACGTGGCTGTGATCACCCAGGTCCAGATCTCCACCACCAAGTGGCTGTGATCACCCAGGTCCAGATCTCCACCACCACGTGGCTTTGATCACCCAGGTCCAGATCTCCACCACCAAGTGGCTGTGATCACCCAGGTCCAGATCTCCACCACCACGTGGCTTTGATCACCCAGGTCCAGATCTCCACCACCACGTGGCTTTGATCACCCAGGTCCAGATCTCCACCACCAAGTGGCTGTGATCACCCAGGTCCAGATCTCCACCACCAAGTGGCTGTGATCACCCAGGTCCAGATCTCCACCACCAAGTGGCTGTGATCACCCAGGTCCAGATCTCCACCACCAAGTGGCTATGATCACCCAGGTCCAGATCTCCACCACCAAGTGGCTGTGATCACCCAGGTCCAGATCTCCTCCACCACCACGTGGCTGTGATCACCCAGGTCCAGATCTCCTCCACCACCACGTGGCTGTGATCACCCAGGTCCAGATCTCCACCACCACCACGTGGCTGTGATCACCCAGGTCCGGATCTCCACCACCACGTGGCTGTGATCACCCAGGTCCGGATCTCCACCACCATGTGGCTGTGATCACCCAGGTCCGGATCTCCACCACCAAGTGGCCGTGATCACCCAGGTCCAGGGCCTCCTTTCACAAAGCACTAAGGTGATCATAAGTTAACTTTAGTAAAGGTTGCTTTGTGAAAGGAGCCCCAGATCTCTACCACCATGTAAGAGGGGTGGTAGGGTAGCCTAGTGGTTAAAGCGTTTGATTGTCATGCAGAAGACCTGGGTTCGATTCCCCACATGGCTATAATGTGTGAAGCCCATTTCTGGGGTCCCCTGCTGTGATATAGCTTGAATATTGCTAAAAGCGACATAAAACTAAACTCACTCACTCCACCACCAAGTAGCTGTGACTAGCCTGCTCCTGATAGCCCCCTATCCAATACAAAGCTAGGACAAACAAAACACTTTCAGTGTTTATTCTGCTAGAAAAACTCCACTAATCTGGAACATGGCAGGGACTTGCGAGGATTATCAACATAGCGATAGTCAGATTATCTTGTCTGAGAACCTCAGAGTTCCTGATCTCACTACATTGCCCAAGTGAAGCATGAAGCTGGCTGTGTTATCAAATACAGATTTTACTAGTACCGGACAAACATCATTACAAACAATCAAACCCAAATTAAGGATGCCCCAACTTTATATGGATTTTAATTCTTTGTAAAAATATACACTAAAATTTTATCAAATCAATTTATGTGACTCTTAATCCATTCTCAAACAACTAAAATTCATGTATTCATTCTGACAAATTAACTCTCTTAGAATTAATTACATTAATTAAAATCTCAAAATTTTACCCTTGTGCATGTATCCATTTTCATTCAAATCAGCAAAACAGAAAACATACTGTGAGGCTTCATAAGTGTAGGGGTATTCCCATGTGTGTAGGTTTTCACCTGTGTAGGTGTGAGTGGGTGTGCTCCCATGTGCAGAGGTGTTCACCTGTGTATGGGTGTTCACCTGTGAATGTGTTCATACCTGTGTCAGGTGAGAAGCTTCAGAGAGAGCCGCCAACAAGTCCAGGTATCTCTGTGAACCATCTTCATACCTGTACACAAGACAAATATTGCTCATTAACATCGGTATAAGAATGGGCAGGGCTGTGCTCCCATCCTTGAACTGCATACATTTAAGTCATAACATAGAAACTGAGATAAGAGATAAGAAAAGTTTGGACCAGGGACAATATTGATTGAGAAAGTGAATGTTTTGTACATTCTGCAATGCCATAATAATTGATGGATACCTGCCAGTTATTGAGTCTGGGCCACACGAGCTAGAAATCCTGAAGAGTAGCTGGACATTAACCTACTACTGAAACCCATGCCTGGTTATCAAGCTGTCAAACAAATAGTGAGTGAGTGAGTGAGTTTAGTTTCATGCCGCACTCAGCAATATTCCAGCAATATGGCGCACTTTGTAAATAAACGAGTCTGGACCAGACACTCCAGTGATCAACAGCATGAGCATCGATCTGTGCAATTGGGAACCAATGACATGTGTCAACCAGCTTGAGCACCCGATCCCGTTAGTCGCCTCTTACGACAGGCATGAGTTACTGAAGATCAATTCTAACCTGGATCTTCACGGGTGTCAAACAAAGAACCAGAATGAGGGAAAATCATAGGTTCAAACTCATGGTCATAGAATGCTGGCATACCAAAGGGACACAACTCTGTATGAACTGTAACATCACTAAGTAAGGATAAATTCTTCCTCCCTATTCAGACACGATCTCCGATGCATGTAGGCTGATTGTATAATCATGCTTGGCTGGACTGGGATATCATGTGCGAAATCCTTGGCACAAATTTTAAACTCATACATAAACATATTTCTTGTATTAATCTGTTGACAGTGTTATAGCATAATGTATTCTCCAATTGAGTCAACATGTCAGTAAGGTGCACCAGCCAGAAGTAGTCCGTCACAACTTGTCCACCCACAAGATGACAGCAGAAATGCAACCTGATGGATTCGCAATGATTCAATATCATTTTGACACTGATGGGATCATTATAACAACACTGGAAAAATGCTAATGTATCAGTACCCATCACTCAAATCTACATCCAATGTTGTTGACCGCCTCCGTGGTGTAGTGGTTAGAGCGTCCGCCCGGAGAGCGGAAGGTCGCAGGTTCGATCCCCGACAGCGCCATACCAAAACACGTTAAAATATGGTACTTGTTGGTTCCTGCCTGGCGTTCGGCATTAATGGGTACAAGGACTGGTCGGCTCGGATTCAGTATAATGTGTCTGAGTGGGGTATTCATGCTTCACTGCGGCATGGTATCTCAGTGGGCTAGCACTATAAAACCAGCTTAAGTCTGGGCTAGTACAAGCAGCCGCACATACACCTACACACGCATGCACGTAGTCATATGAGTGAAATATTCTCATATCCAATTTCACCTCACCTCACCTCACATCCAATGTTGAATTCAGTGAGTGAGTGAGTGAGTGAGTGAGTGTTAGTATTTGATGACACCCTCTAAGTTTCATGTGAGAGGACTGACTGACTGACTGAGTTTAGTTTTACGCCGCTTTTAGCAATATTCCAGCAATATCACGGCGGGGGACACCAGAAATGGGCTTAACACATTGTGCCCATGTGGGGAATCGAACCCGGGTCTTCGGCGTGACGAGACAACGCTTTAACCACTAGGCTACCCCACCGCCCCTCATGTGAGAGGAAATCTCAGAGTAGCTAGACGTCAGCCATTTTATTTTATTATTATTTATTACTTACAATTCATATCTACAGCCCTACATACTGAGGTGGGTGGGTGGGTGAGTGGGTGGGTGGGTGGGTGGAGTGAGTGAGTGAGTGAGTGAGTGAGTGAGTGAGTGAGTGAGTGAGTGAGTGAGGTGAGTGAGTGAGTGAGGTGAGTTTCATGTGAGAGGAAATCTCAGAGTAGCTAGACGTCAGCCATTTTATTTTATTATTATTGAGTACAATTCATATCTACAGCCCTACATACTGAGTGAGTGTGGGTGAGGAGTGAGTGAGTGAGTGAGTGAGTGAGTGGAGTGAGTGAGTGAGTGAGTGAGTGATGAGTGAGTGAGTGAGTGAGTGAGTGAGTGAGTGAGTGAGTGAGTGAGTGAGTGAGTGAGTGAGTGAGTGAGTGAGTGTTAGTATTTCATGACACCCTCTAAGTTTCATGTGAGAGGAAATCTCAGAGTAGCTAGACGTCAGCCATTTTATTTTATTATTATTTATTATTTATTACTTACAATTCATATATTGAGTGAGTGAGTGTCCTGTGGTTTCCAGTGGATATTAAACAGTAGGTTGTCTGAACCTATTGCTCATGCCAGTCCTTAATACAGCATTAAATCATAAATGAACATCTCTAGACCTTACACTTGAACAGCATGTACAACGCGTTGCTTTTGCAGCCAAACAAAAAAGTACTGTTCACTTCGAAACCCCCAGCATTTTGGACACATGGGCTATACCCTCTAACCTGGTCAAGGAAACAGAGGGAAAACATATAAAAGAAATTTAGCCAATGAAAGTGACCTTTGTATTTAATGCAGGGTGACTAAGTGATACACAGTACCAGGAAGCAGCATTCGTGTTTTGTAAGCAAAGGGCAATAAATGTCATGAAGTTCCAGGGTGTTATTTTTCATCGAGAGTAATGGGAACAATGAAATTTCAACTATATTCAGGCTGGTTGAGGGGCCTACACCATGTGAAAGTCCAAGTGATATTCTACATGTGAACTTGAAGATGGAATGCTTAGACCACTTAAAAAGTACACAGTGGAGCATGATCAAGGAGCTCTGTCAAGGGGCATAGTCTAGGGGATGGTCAAGGGGTGTGATCTAGGGGATGGTCAAGGGGTGTGATCAAAGGGTGTGGTCAAGCGACATGGTCAAGTGCGATGGTGTGGGGTGAAAGAGCATGGTCAAACAGCAAGGCATTGTTATAAAATTGTGCTGTGCATAAAATGTTATTGTCAACTTCCTGGGAGGATACTTTATTTTCAGAACTGAATCATACAAACCAGGGGTCAAAAAGTTGGAAAATATGCCATATACTCATGGTATAAAGCAGTCTACACATATCTGCTATAAATACACATGCCTTTAACTATATGAATACTTATACTCTGGATCATGCAGCAATATATTTACTTATTGGGCTGAAAACTATGTTTTCAAGAGCTGTATGTGCTCTCAGACCTTCATACACCAGACATTGTATCCATCCAATCAACATTCATCATCTATCACTTGCAGCTGCGGAGACATGCAGACATGACCTCACTTCCTGTAATAATTAGCGGCATGTGCACCAGTAGCTAATTATAGGTATAGACAGATCAGTGTCAGGACAGGGGACCAACTCTAGACTGATGACTGGTCTTATAAAGCAATTGAGAATCACTTAATGCTTGATCATATAGATGAACTGAACAATCTCACATCTAAAGCAAGTCTGAGCAGCCTTAATGTATCTAATAAAAGTATATTAAAAGTTTTCTTAAATTAATTAATACCCGTGAAGATCTGTTAGAATTGGTCGTCAGCAACCATGCTTGTCGTAAGAGGCAACTAACAGGATCAGGTGGTCATGCTTGCTGACTTGGTTGACACGTCATCATAATCCACATGTCATCGTATCTGTGTAGATCGATGCTCATGCTGATAATCACTGGATTGTCTGGTCCAGAGTCGATTATGTACAGACTGCCATCATATAGCTGGAATATTGTTGAGAGCAGCGTTCAACAACAAACGATCAAACAATAAATGAACTGATAAACTAATACACTACTAGTGTTTCCCCCAGGATCCAAAAGGACAGGGCGACAGAATTTCAAGAGAGACATACAATGCCAGATTTCCAAGTATTGTGTGAAGCTATCCATGCATATGATTCTTAGAAACTCAAAGAGCACATTGCTTTCATTTAACTTCAACATGAAATAGTAACTAAAAACCACCAAGTATTAATATCAATTATTGTATTGAAAAGGTTGGGGTGCCAAATGAAAAGGTTGGGGTGCCAAATGAAAAAGGTTGGGGTGCAAAATGAAAAGAGCAGGGCACCAAATGAGAAGGGCAGGGCACCAAATGAAAAGGTTGGGGCACCAAATGAAAAGGTTGGGGTGCCAAATGAAAAGGTTGGGGTGCCAAATGAAAAGGTTGGGGTGCCAAATGAAAAGGTTGGGGGCACCAAAAATGCCAAATGAAAAGGGCAAGGGCACCAAATGAAAGGACAAGGCACCAAATGAAAAGGGCAAGGCACCAAATGAAAAAGGTTGGGGGCACCAAATGAAAAGAGCAGGGCACCAAATGAAAGGGAAGGGTGCCAAATGAAAGGGCAAGGCACCAAATGAAAAGGACAGGGCACCAAATGAAAAAAGGCACCAAATGAAAGGGCAGGGCACCAAATGAAAAGGGCAAGGCACCAAATGAAAAGGGCAGGCACCAAATGAAAAAGGCAAGGGCACCAAATGAAAAGGGACAGGGTGCCAAATGAAAAGGCAGGGCACCAAATGAAAAGGGCAGGGTGCCAAATGAAAAGGGCAAGGGCACCAAATGAAAAGGGCAAGGCACCAAATGAAAAGGGCAAGGCACCAAATGAAAAGGGCAAGGCACCAAATGAAAAGGGCAAGGCACCAAATGAAAAGGGCAGGGCACCAAATGAAAAGGGCAAGGCACCAAATGAAAGGGCAAGGCACCAAAGGGCAAGGCACCAAATGAAAGGGCAAGGCACCAAATGAAAAAGGGCAGGGCACCAAATGAGAAAAGGGCAGGGCACCAAATGAAAAGGGCAGGGCACCAAATGAGAAAAGGGCAGGGCACCAAATGAAAAGGGCAAGGCATTGCGCACTGCTAAAATGCCTAGTGGAAACACTAACTACAGTTGACTTCCTTCTGGTATTTATTACAATGGTCTTATTGTTGGATTATTGTTTTTTTCGGACAACATATATTTTGGATAGCAGTGCTTACTCAGACTATAACGAGGGTGTTGCATCAGACAGGAGTTGTCACATTTATGATTTATGACTATTTAGGATAAAGTTATTGTTTGTAAATTAGTGAGATGTCATTCAAGTGAATACAAAGACAACAATAATCCAAAAACCATAATATGAGGAAATTAGAAAATAATCTATGATAATTGCTGGCGGATTCAGTGATTGTTTCCGTGCAGAGAAATTTACCTCCATCAATAAATGATGATTTGCAAAATGAATGAGAGTATATGTCACAACCGAAATCTTTGTTTTTATTTAGAGGCACTCGATGACAAGCTTCAACCATTCATCAAATAAATATCACATAAATTACATTTTACAGTTCACAAAAAATTGTCAAAAAAGCTTTGAAGTTTCCTTAGTCTCCTAAACTTCATGAACAATAAAACTTGACAAGAAAATTTGAAATACAGACTGTGAATAGGTCGAGGAATTCTTAGGATAGATTGAGCTGCTCTTTATGACATTCCATATCACACCAAGAAATAAAAGTCTGACACTGATAGATTTCAGCAAACACTCCATACTGATATATGACACTGTCTCAGAAATCACCAATATCATATGATGGCTTAATTCATATTTCTCCAGATTGTTCTCATGAATATGCAGTGAGGGGACATCTGACAATTGTGGAAGATGTGGTGGCTGAGTGGGTTAGATCTCTTGACTTTTTCAGCTGGCAATTAGGTGCCTCACTCTGAGATTATGGGTTTGAATACTGGAAATGAGTATGGTTTAATGCCGCTTTTAGCAATATTCCAGTGACAACACGGCAGGGGATACCAGAAATGGGCTTCACACACTGTACTCATGTGGGGAATCGAACCCAGGTCTTCAGCATGATGAGCCAAAGCTTTAACCACTAGGCTACCCCATCGCCCCAAGTACTGGAAATGAGTCAACCCCAAAAGTACCAGATCTACACATATAACATCGCTCATTGATCGTACTTCATCAACAGTTAAACCACTAAAAATATCAAACAATTTCTCACTAAATTTGCCAAAGCACCAGATATTTTGGGTACTTACAAGCTACCATTCACAGCGTACTGACAGTTTCCTTTGGGTAGTCAATATATAGTTACTCCCTAGAGTCCACTTTTCTGGGTATCGCTACACAAGTGAGCAGATGTTTTTTCTTAATTCCACTTAAAATATTGTTTTTCTGACGTCTAATTTGTATCTGTTCTACTTCAGATATTCATGTGTAACAATTTAAAAAACATCTCAGCAGTTATAAAAATGTCTAATTAACAAGCAAGATGAACTCAGAAATGTTCCAGTTAAATGACGGTGGTCTGTAAATAATCAAGTCTGGATCAGACAAACCAGTGACTGAACATCAATCTACGCAATAGGGATACGATGACGTGTAAACCAAGTCAGCGAGCCTGACCACCCGATCCTGTTAGTCACCTCTTATGACAAGCATGGGTTACTGAAGACCAATTCTAATCAGGATCTTAACAGGTAGATGGCTGTAGTAACAGTTAAAACAGACAGAATCAGGATGTAGTGCCTTATATCTATATTATTTACCAAGTGGAGTTTATGTATGTGTTATGGGATGCCTGTAAATAAACATCAGAATGAAAATACACATACTGAAGTGAAAAAGGATACATATGACAAATAGGCTTAGTGGTGTAATATTTTTAATTCATTGATAATTTTAAGCATATTTGTACACAAAAGTATTTAGTCAAATATTGATCTATTTTGCATATTTTGATATATTTTTGCAGATAGAAAGCTGATCTCAAAAGGCTGCAGCTGCTACAGGATAACCTGTTGACTTGTATGATGCCAAATAGTGCACTTCCAAACAAAGGAGAGATATTACTATGCATGTGTAGTAATATGAGTACCCTACACTGTGTAGCACGAGAATATGCAAAGTAGTGCGCTGAGGAGATAAACATCATGTGTTGGCCAATTTCCGGGTGTTATTGAGTATTTGAAGCATGGGAATTCATTTGGAACTGACGGCATTAGCTGGAGGTTTCAAATGAAATATTCCTGTGCTTAAAACACTCAATAACACCAGGAAATTGGCCAACATATGATGTTTATCGACATTGTAAACACAAAAGTAAACCAAAAGGTCCACACACGTTTGTGTCTGCACTCATTGACATGGGAGTATGGGTACAGCAGTGAAATGTCATCAGCCGGACGTTTCGGCTGTCTCCCATGGTAGCATCTGGACCTGCTCATTTGTGACGTCATTCGGACTTTACGTCACAATGTGATTTGAATGATGTCACAATACAATGGTGTGTGCAATGTTTGTACGTATTAATACACAGCGAATGGTATTAAAATTTCCGGGAATCGAATATCATTCGATCATGTTTTTCAACCACTTAGATTAAAGAACACAGTTACTTTTGGTTTACAATTATTGTTTTTGCCACTCAAACAAAATTTGTTTGCAACAGAGAAATAACATACAAAACTGATCTCATCACACCTACGATATATATTCACCATAAAAACAGATTTGTTTGTTACAACACCCTGAACAAACAGCCACATGTAGATTCTGGGTCAGTGTTATTGACATGTGGGCCATCTATGTGCCATCGTACCCTAGCAAGATAATTTATATCAATTTTATGCTTCAACTAGCAATAAATCCTGTACATAGTTTTGACAGCCAGAATGAGCCAACTCCTGTCACCAACTTAGTCATATATTGGTCACCTGTAGCCAAGGTCGAGAACATGTCCACTAGGAGGAATATCGGAGTGTTAAATTTAGGTAGAAGTATTTTTGAACTGTAATATTTTTGTTAAATATTTTTGGATAGGTTGACCAGTGTGCCATCAGAAGCCACCTTTGTGCTTCCTGTTTGTGGTCAGTGATAAATTACCATCCCACCCAAACCAACAACGTGTTTCATATTCACCATATGACATCCCGGCAAGGATACAAATTGTTACTCTCAAAATGTTAGCATTTTAATGTGTCACAGGGGCATTTGAAGGGCAGGAATACCTGTAGCCTTTTCTCCCATCTCATAAGCATTTGTTTTCACCTTCAAGCTCTAAACTCTAACACTTGGAAAAATTTGTGCATTTTTCTAAAGATTTACAAATTTAACTGAAAATATTCTCCCACCAAATAAATAGGGATTCTTACCTGACTGGTTCATGATGGTAAGATTCTATGGTCCACTATAAAAATCATTATTCTAAGATTTACAGTTTGTAAGTAGTACAGTGTTTTGTGTGAAAAACACACAGATACCCAGGTTGAGTATTAGAGTCAGTGATGCCATTTGATTGTGCTGGCATGGTAGCAACATATGACTGCAAAATGTGACTGCAGCGTGACACCTGCCATGTGACAACACCATTAGACTAATGTGACATCTGTCATGTGACTACCATGTGACATCTGCCATGTGACAACACCATCTGACTGCATTGTGAAATCTGTTAGGTGACATGTGACTGCAATGTGACAACTATCATGTGACTGCCTGTGTGACATATGTCATGTGACATGATCTGACTGCAGTATGACATCTGTCATGTGACAACCCCATCTGACTGCAGTGTGACATGCCATGTGACAACCCCATCTGACTGCAGTATGACATCTGCCATGTGACAACCCCATCTGACTGCAGTATGACATCTGCCATGTGACAACCCCATCTGACTGCAGTATGACATCTGCCATGTAACAACCCCATCTGACTGCAGTATGACATCTGCCATGTAACAACCCCATCTGACTGCAGTATGACATCTGCCATGTGACAACCCATCTGACTGCAGTATGACATCTGCCATGTGACAACCCCATCTGACTGCAGTATGACATCTGCCATGTGACAACCCCATCTGACTGCAGTATGACATCTGCCATGTGACAACCCCATCTGACTGCAGTATGACATCTGCCATGTGACAACCCCATCTGACTGCAGTATGACATCTGCCATGTGACAACCCCATCTGACTGCGGTATGACATCTGACTGCAGTGTGACATCTGCCATGTGACAACCCCATCTGACTGCAGTATGACATCTGCCATGTAACAACCCATCTGACTGCAGTATGACATCTGCCGTATGTAACAACCCATCTGACTGCAGTATGACATCTGCCATGTGACAACCCATCTGACTGCAGTATGACATCTGCCATGTGACAACCCCATCTGACTGCAGTATGACATCTGCCATGTGACAACCCCATCTGACTGCAGTATGACATCTGCCATGTGACAACCCATCTGACTGCAGTGCATGACATCTGCCATGTGACAACTCCCATCTGACTGCAGTATGACATCTGCCATGTGACAACCCATCTGACTGCAGTATGACATCTGCCATGTGACAACCCCATCTGACTGCAGTATGACATCTGCCATGTGACAACACCATCTGACTGCAGTGTGACATCTGCCATGTGACAACCCCATCTGACTGCAGTATGACATCTGCCATGTGACAACCCCATCTGACTGCAGTATGACATCTGCCATGTAACAACCCATCTGACCTGCAGGACAACCCATCTGACTGCAGTATGACATCTGCCATGTAACAACCCCATCTGACTGCAGTATGACATCTGCCGTGTGACAACCTTACCATCTGACTGCAGTATGACATCTGCCATGTGACAACCCCATC